TATCAATGAAGACATCCGTCTGTGGAGCAGCTGAGAAAATGCTTGGATTCACTTGGCGGCGCCACAGCAACTGCATCAGCGAAGGAACCCTGCAGTTTCTGTTTAGACGTCTCGGGCTAGGTCCGGCAACTCTGAAAGACGATGGCAAATTCGGCTGCGGATGACCTCTCTAGCCTATGCAGTGTCGTGCGACCTCCCTTCTGAAGACGAAGTTTCCCATGCAATACACAGACTGCGCAACAACAACGCGTCTGGAGAAGACTATATTCCCGCCGAAATCTAAAAGGCCTGTTTTGACACCCTGGCCCCCTGACTATATGAAGCGATTCAGCAGGCGAGGAAAGATAAAGTAGTTACGAGTGATTGGGGCTCGGATATCCTCATAGCTGTATTCAAAAAGAGAGATAAACTGGAGTGCGACAACTGTCGCAGTATAAGCCTCAGCGGCGTCGTTGCAAATGATTATATATTTGTATTTCTCAAACATTTCAGTCTGCACGAGACTCCGGACGTGGCCCAATCAGGCCGTATTCCGCGACAGACGTGAATACGTAGACCAAATCTTCACACTGAGGCGCATTCTGGAATTCCGCCTTGACGACCAGCAACTGCTGGCCCTCTGCTTTGTCGAATTCGCCGCTGCGTTCGATACAGTCCATCATGTGTCACTGTGCTGAATAATGGAACTAGATGGTGCGGCGGCCAAACTAATTGTCATGCTCAAGGCCACTGCGCAAATTCTGGTCTATAACACTTTCTCTGAAACATTCGATATCCGGTCTGGCGTTCGACAAGGCTGCGTCCCGTCGCCTATTCTGTTCAACTTCTTCATTGACTAGATTCAGGCAAAGACTCTGCACGGATCTTACGGTATTGAGTTCGCCCCCGGACGCCGCCTGATTAACCTTGCCTACGCCAAAGATATTGTCCTGCTAGCCTCAAGCTTGGGTGATCTACAGTTTATAGTGCGACGGGTGAATGAGGTCACTACTTGGGTTGACTTGTTCATAAACATCACGAAGACCAAATTGTTCTCGAACTGCATCCCTGACCCGGAGAAAACGCTCCGGGGTCTAAATTGTTAGCATATTAGCCTGACCAAGTGCTGGCAACATTTGGAGGCTTTCCTAAGGCGTCGAGCCTAGCCAAATGTCTTTGTT